CGCAACCTCCGCCTCCTGGGTTCAGGCAATTCTCCTGCCTCAGCCTCCTGAGTAGCTGGGATTACAGGCACGTGCCACCATGCCCAGCTAATTTTTTGTATTTTTAGTAGAGACAGGGTTTTACCATGTTGACCAGGATGGTCTCGATCTCTTGACCTCATGATCCACCCGCCTCAGCCTCCCAAACTGCTGGGATTACAGGCGTGAGCCACCATGTCCGGCCTAAGAACAGAACTTTTATCTGAGGAATTCCAGTTCTTTTAATTTATCAGGTCCAGAGAGGCATTAAAATGAGACAGCAATCAACTCCTTCTTCCCCCCTGGACCTATGTATGTCTCTCTGGAAACTGCTTGTTATTGTCAAAACTAGCTGCACTGGACACATTAGCGTCCACTGCCCTGGACACTATAACTCACATCCTGTAGCTTAATTTTGTATAGCCAGGCCGGACTCAGTGGCTCACACCTGTAATCCTAGCACTTTGGGAGGCCGAGGCAGCTGGATCACTTGAGGCCAGGAGTTCAAGACCAGCCTGCCCACCATGATGAAACCCTGCCTCTACTAAAAATACAAAAATTAGCCAGGCATGGTGGCAGGTGCTTGTAATCCCAGCTACTTGGGAGGCTGAGGTAGGAGAATTGCTTAAGCCTGGGAGACAGAGCCTGCAGTGAGCCAAGATCACGCCACTGCACTCCAGCCAGGGCAACAGAGTGAGTCTCTGTCTCAAAAACAAAACAAAACCCAAAAACAATGTATAGCCAATCACTAATCAATGTTACTTCTGTAAACCAAGGAGATTTAATTCCTGACGAACTACTTTAGTAACTGTCCCCTTTCCTAATTTGTCCTTTTTTTCTTTAAACACTTGGACCTCTTCTTCTCCAGAGCACTTCCTAAGGCAACTTGGAAGTGTGTCCTGGGCTGCAGTCCTCAACCTTGTTCCAAATAAGCTCTCTATATTAATTTTGTCTCAGCTTTTCCTTTTGGGTAGACAGTATTCTCCTCTCCCATCAGTCTACTTTCTTCTACCCTGAGCCTTGCTGCGTGGACTAGGAGAGTCACCTGACTCAAAGGCAGCCGAGATGTCAGGTGGTGAGGTGCCCTGGAAAGGAGCATGTGCTACTCAACAGATGCTTTTTATATTGCATGATGAATGAGCCAACTAATCGCACATGGTCTCTTAGAGACTGAGAGGCGGGCCAGGGAGATTCAATGGAGGCAGAGAAAGGCACTAAGCAGAAACCATGAGGCAGCAGAAGCCATGAAGTAGAGAGGGACAAAAGTCCACAGCAGGGATTGATGGACTGAAGCAGGCTAGCCAAGTCTTTGGGATGGCAGACACCAAAGTGAGGCACAACAGAGATTGGCTGCTGCTATAGGGGCTAAGATGACCCATGTTACACAAGTTTCTGTACATCTCCAAGAACTTTCCAGTTCAATTAGGTGGTGTGCTTTCTTTCCTGCTTTCTTGGCTTTCCCATGCATTTGTATCCCTATCAATGAAGATAATATAAGCAGGCTTCCAGTGGGCAGCCTAAATAAAGGGTGGCAGCAGGATCCCAGCTAACTGAGCTCTTACTAAGGTGCCTGGCAATGTGCTAAGTGCTTTCCGATTGCGCTCTCATTTAATTATCACAACCACCTTGGGGAGGGACCTATGATGACCCTGATTTCACAAGTTTTAGAGATCTGCCTACATGGCAGGGCTAGGTCTTGGTCTGGGACAATGACTTTGACTCTGGACGACGCTCTTAGCCAACATCTCCTGGGCTGCTGCTCACAGTTCACTCAACCAGCACCCAGCATAAAGCTGAACCCTTAGTAACAGTGGGCATCTCAACCATGTAACAAATAGGCAGAGAAACAAGACAAGTGTGACATTTTCACCAAAATGTTAACATATATAGAGGTACATGTGTTCTCTATTGCTTCAATAAGCAAAACCATGGCAAAAGACGTAAGTTGAAGGATTGTGGATTAACCTATAAAACATCTTTTTAAAAGTTAGAGTAGTCTCAGAAAGGGAAGGCCTTTCCAGAGGAAGAGATCTCCCTGCCCTAACCAAATCCTAGGTCAGATTAGTAGAACTCAATGTCTGCTTTCTCCTCGAAGTTCTGAGATTCTTTTTTTTTCCTTCACTTTTGAGTACTTCAATAGATATCTCTAATGGAGACTGTAGGAATGTTCACACTAACAAAGCTTAAAATAATTTTTTAATATTATTTAAAATCTAGTCTTCACTTGAATTTTCTCATTGTTTCCAAAACTTTTTAAAAAAGAGTTCTGTGAGGCCGGGCATGGTGGCTCAAGCCTGTAATCCCAGCACTGTGGGAGGCCGAGGCGGGTGGATCACGAGGTCAAGAGATCGAGACCATCCTGGTCAACATGGTGAAACCCTGTCTCTACTGAAAA